GATACCTGGGAAACGGCCATTCGACCCGTTTGTTCCCCGTACGCCCCCCCCCCCTGGACCCCTCCCCCCCCTTAAGGGGCTTCGCCCAACACACAACGTCATCACTCGTACCTCGCTCTTTCCGTGAAACCCGAGGGAGACGGCCCAAAACGGCCATTAAACCCGTTTGCTCCCCGTACGCCCCCCCCCTTGACCCCCCCCCTTAAGGGGCTTCGCCCAACACACAACGTCATCACTCATACCTCGCTCTTTCTGTTACCTGGGCCCGGCACAGAAACGGAAAGGGCGCTTCAACAAAATTCCCCGAAATCGTTCATGGCAGCGTTCGCTCTTGAAGCCTTGGTGTGAAGAACTAGTTACGATACCTCTTGCTCTTGTGAGCCGCGTTTTAGACACATTTTAGCACGCCGTCCGATCTTGAGATCACAGCTGGGACATCGGCCTCTTGGGGCCTCTTGGGGGCCTTGGTGCTCAGAGATTGTTACCTTCCTTGGCTGGGCCTTGGTGTCAAGAACTTGTGGGCCGTTTGAGGGCCTCTTCTGGGGCTCTTGGGGGCCTCTTGGGATATCCCGGGGGCCTCTTGGGGGCCTCTTTGGGGCCTCTTGGGGCTTCTTGGGGGTTTCTTGGGGCCTCCTGGGAGCTTCTTGGGGAGAAAGGCTAAACTTTCGGGTTCGTTGTACCCCTCTTGCGGCAGTCTTGGGGCCCTCTTGGGCCGTCTCGGGTGCCTCTTGGGCCGCCTTGGGGCCGTCTTGGGCCGTTTTGGGGGCCTCTTGGGAGCCTCTTGGGCCGTCTTGGGGCGGTCTTGGGGGCCTCTTGGACCGTCCTCAACGCCGTTAAAGCCGAAAAACCGTGTATGCTAAAAACGGATTTCTTCCATTAAGAAATCGATGATGTTGGCCTCCTCTGGGGGGCCTCTTGGGACGCCTCTTGCGGCTTCTTGGGGGGCTCTTGGGGCCTCCTGCGGGCTTCTTGGGGCGAAAAGCTAGGCTGTTCGGTTCGTGGCCCCCCTCTTGGGGCCGCCTTGTTGGCCTGGGCCTCTGGGGGGCCTCTTGGGACGCCTCTTGCGGCTTCTTGGGGGGCTCTTGGGGCCTCCTGCGGGCTTCTTGGGGCGAAAAGCTAGGCTGTTCGGTTCGTGGCCCCCCTCTTGGGGCCGCCTTCGGGCCCTCTTGGGCCGTCTTGGGCGCCTCTTGGGCCGTCTTGGGGCCCTCTTGGGCCGTTTTGGGGGCCTCTTGGGCCGTCTTGGGGCGGTCTTGGGAGCCCCTGGGCTGTCGTCAACGCCGTGAAAGCCGAAAAGTCGTATATGCTAAATATGTACGTTGTCCTATGGGAAGTCCATGATGGTGGCCTCTTGGGGCTCTCTTGTGGCGCCTCTTGTGGGCCTCTTGGGGCTTCTTGGGGGGTTCTTGGGGCCTCCTGGGAGCTTCTTGGGGCGAAAGGCTAGTCTTTTCAATTCGTGGTCCCCCTCTTGGGGCCGCCTTGGGGCCCCCCCTGGGCCGTCTTGGGCGCCTCTTGGGCCGTCTTGGGGCCCTCTTGGGCCGTGTTGGGGGCCTCCTGGGAGCCTCTGGGGCCGTCTTGGGGCGATCTTGGGGACCTCTTGGACCGCCTTCAGCGCCGTGAAAGCCGAAAAGCCGTATATGTTAAACATGCACGTGTTTCATGAGACAATCAATGATTTTGGCCTCTTGGGGGCCTCTTGGGCGCCTCTCGGGGCGTCTCGGAATCCTCTTGGGCCGTCTTTGGGCCGTCTTGGGCATGTTGGACCGTCTTGGAGCCGTCTTGGACCGTCTTGAGCGCCCAAGACGGCCCAAGAAGCGCCCAAGAGGCATCCAAGACGCCCCGAGCGGCCATTAGGTCCCATGCCTCCGCCCCTCCCCCCCCTGTGCACTCCCCCTAGAGGGCTTCGCCCAAACACAACGTCATCACTCGTGCCTCGCTCTTTCCGTTATCTCCGCCGCCCCCCGTTGATGTATCACAGGGGTGCCTGGCGTGCTAAATGTCTGATGGTTGTGAGTTCTTTTTGAGACTCCTTCTGGGGTTTCGGTCCATCGCGATGGGGTGACTGTCTCGTCGGCTTGTTTGCTTAAGATGGCCTCAAGACACCTCCAAGACGGCCAAGATGCCTCCAAAACGGCCATGCTGGCCCAAGAGAGCCCGAAATAGCCCCAAGGATGGCCGCCAAGACGGTCCCGAGGTGCCACCCAGACCGCCAAGGTGGTCCAAGGCAGCCCTAGACCCAGAAGCGCCCAAGACGCCCCGAAGATGGCCTAAGGGGTCTCCAAGGGGTCATCCAGGGAGGCCCGAAGAGGCCAACATTGAGCTACAATAGAAATCTGAAGGATGAAGACCGTGGCGTCGATTCGGCCTGCCGGCTGCCCAAGACGGCCTCAAATATTGCCCCAAGATGTCCCCGGAGGCCTCCAAGCTAACCCCGTGATGGCCCAAGAAGCCCCCAAGAGGGCCCCAAGGCTGCCCAAGAGACCCCCAAGACGCCCAAGATGGCCTCCCATAAGGCCCTGAAGCGCCCCAAGAGGGCCCCAAGTCGGTTAAGAGAAGCATCCGAGACGTGCCGTGAGACGGCCAAAGATGCCACCCAAGAAGCCTCGAAGGCCCCCCAGAGGCCCACAGGGGGCCCCCAAGAGACCTCCAAAAAGCTCTCAGGAATCTCCCATGAGGCCCCAAGAGTGGCCCCAGAGGCTCCCAAGATGCCTCCTCCTCCTTCTCCCCTTTTCTCCTGTTCTCCCTTTCCGCCTACTCCTCCGTCTTCTGCTCCGTATCCTCCTCCTCCTCCTCCTCCTCCTCCTCCTCCTACTCCTCTCCTCCTCCTCCTCCTCCTCCTCCTTCTCCTCCTCCTCCTCCGCCTCCGCCTCCTCATCCTCATCCTCATCCTCATCCTCATCCTCATCCTCAGCTCAGCATCAGCATCATCATCGCCATCATCAGCATCATCAGCACCAGCATCAGCATCAGCATCAGCATCAGCATTAGCATTAGCATCAGCTAAACATCATCCATCATCATCTCATCATCATCATCATCTCATCATCATCATCATCATCATCATCATCATCATCATCATCATCATCATCATCATCATCATCATCATCACCATCATGGTCATCATGGTCATCATGGTCATCATGGTCATCATCATCATCATCATCATCATCAGCATCATCATCATCATCATCATCATCATCATCATCATCATCATCCCCGACGTGTTCCCCCAAGGGCTTCCACAACGGCTGGGGGAACGCATGGTCCAATAGCGTGGCCAAACGTTGCCCAGATGTTTGGCCTCGTAGGCGTATCCTAAGAGGCGGGGGGGAGGGGGGCGGGGAGGTGATTCGCCGTAGGCGTCTTCGATCCGTTGCTCCCTTCGCATGCGAAGGAATGCCTAGCGTGACGACCTGTCTAGCCCTTCATGGCCGTTCCCAATGGTCTGCGGCGCGATCTATGAGACATCTGAAACCCACCATGAAAGGAAGGCCTCCAACAAGTGTTCCGCCGAAGACGGCTCCAAAAGGATCCTGGTCGCCATCACATCGGCGCAGGATGGCCCAACGAGCCTCCAGGATGGCTGACGATGGACTGCAAGAGGGCCGGAAATGCGCCGCGAACACTGCGCATAATTGCCTCAAGATGGCCCAAGAAGTCACCCCAGACGCCCCAACGAGCTCCAAGAGAGCGCCAGGAGGGTCTCAGGAGCCAAACCATCGATGCCCCGTGTGCTGCTCCATGCGTCGCGTTCTCTTCCGTTCGGGCCTCTGGCAGCCCAAGACATAGCCCAAGACAGCCCACAGGATTGCCCCAACGCTGCCCAGAAGGCCCGAGAGAAAGCCCTCAGACAGTCCAGGAGGGCCCCGACCTTGCCCCAAAATCGGCCCAAGAAGATCCCAAGGCGGCTCTCAGGAGCCCACAGACTCGCCATCGCTCGGACGTCCATTTCCCGTGCATTTTTCGGTTTCGTGCGTGTTTTTTTTGCTCGATGTCCAGGATCGTCCCCAATGGTTCTCGCCGAGAAAAATGCACACGTCAACGCGATGCCAGGCAGAGAGACAGACCCGAGACCACCCGGAGAGGTCCCGAGGAGAGCCGCCGAGGGCGCCAGACGGCCCAAGACCCCGGCCTGTCCAAAAGGGAGCCCTGGGGCGGGCCCTTGGAGACCCCCAGGGTGGCAGGACCGGCCAGAACACTTGGGGCTCTTTTTGGGGCCTCTTCGGCGGTCTCGGGGCGATCTTCGGGGCGTCTTCGGCTGTCGAGCGTTGGAAGTTCGAGAACGCGAGAAAGCGAAAATTTGAAAAAAACTATGGGAAATCAAGGATATGGGCCGCTTCGGGCTCTGTCGGGACGCCTCTCGGAGCTCTCTTGGGGCCTCTTGGAGGGCTCTTGGGCTGTGTACTGGCCGTGTTGGGCCCATCTGGAGCCACGTTGGGGTCAGTCTTACGTCGAGCGTGTCCCCCTACAGGGGGATTTGGGGCTAAATGTGGCAAAATACTCTAAGCAAAAAAAGCAAGGTCAAAATGAAAAAAAATAAGACCGTCCTGGACTGTTTCTTGACTATGTTGTAATGTCCCTCCTGTGGAGGGACAGGCCCGACTTACCCCAAGGAGGCAGAACCGGCCAGAGGAAGACCAAGGACGTCCCAAGACCGCCTCAGAGGAGCCCTCCGAAGTCCTGCTCCCTGTGGTCAACCCAGGCCCAGCGGCTTCAGGAGAATGCAGTCCACCAGCAAGGCCGCACTTTCGCTCGAGATGTCACGAAACGAGCGTTTCCAAAAGGCAAAGGGCCGCGGTGACTCGCCACAGGAGTCTTGGATTCAAGCACACGATCACGACAGATCATACTAGAACCTGCATCTTCCTCCTCGTACTCGTACTCATCATGGCCATCGACGCCGCCGAAGTACTGGCAATATCACATCGACTGACATCGTCGTGACTATGATGCTACGGCGTCTCCTCAATGTTCTGGTTGCGTCCTGCTTGATCATCATCGTCGTCGTCATCTCTCAGTCTCCAAATTCCAGAAGGGGAAGACTGTCTGCAAACTGTCACAACAACAACGCCCGCAAGAGGGTCCCAGGCGGCCTTTTTCGAAGCGAATGCCCGCTAAGAAGAGCACGTGGCCAACAACCATTCAAGTCCGCTAAACACGGACAGCGCCTGTACGAGCCGCACCCCTCAGCGACGGCGCCAAGGGCAAATCTGGAAGCCCCTGCTCCCGCATCCATCCACAACGCTGGCCTCGTGTCACCTGCCTGTCACGCCGGTGAGCTGGGGGCAGACGGAGGGGGGGGTCAGAATGGCTGGCAGCGTGAGCCCTACCCCAGTCTGAGAAAGAGATCAAAACTAGGTGCAGCCGAGACTGCGCTACTAGCACGGCTAGCAACAAACAGCAACATCAAGCTTTCGCATTCAGTAGGGGCTCTGTCCCGTTATCAACAGACATCACGGGTGTTTCTTCACAGAAGCATGGATACGTCAGTACTTTTGCAATGATGCGGAACAGCACGGCCATGGCAGACACCCATGCAACTGTCTCGAGCATGAACTTGACATTTGAGTGAATGGCTTGACACTGTGGCCCACCCGTTGTTGTTACGGTCGTCGTGGTGAATTGGAACTCCTCGTCTGAGAACGGGAACCATTGCTGCTTATAGTACCTGAACGAAAACAAGCTGACCGTTAGTAAAGCCACGATTAAGCGCTGACAGTGACGCCTGATACGGTGTTTCTTCTCGTCCCAGTCGGTGATGCAATTCACCAAGTTCATGGCCAGCATGAAGACATAGAGGGAAAGCTCGGCTTTTTGTCGGTCGCTTGCAGATCCACCAGCCCATGTGGCAAGGACAACGGCGACATCTTCGGTCATCCCAAGCGGTTGGATCATTATCGCAGTCAACCAATCGGGGACAAATTTACGACTGTACATGGTTGTCGCTGGGCCAGACCAAATCATGAAATGCCCTGCCAACACTGCCGTTGCGGCCGCACACTCTGGCGATTTTTTTGCATCCTTGTGTACTGATTCAAATGCTGGTTCCATGAAGTACGGACGGACCCAGAAGGAGAAAGGCAAATAGTCCGTCAAGGCGCTGCAGAATTCCGTGGCGATGAAATGGTTCTTTTTGTCATCCCGCTCTTTGATACACGGGCTCGTGACCCAATAAAGAATCGCGTCAAGCATGGGCAATACGGCGCCTGCAGGTGCGCTGCAAATCAGAAGGTAGAAGACTCCCTTCCAATCCTCGCCTTTGGGCTGCGACACCGCAATGAGGTACGCGAAGGCGGGGGATGTGAATGGAAGCACATTGCTGACAGCAAGTCGCAATACCATCATTAGACAAATGCTCAAACCCCTCATCCACCACGCCATTTCCTTATTCAGCTCAGCCCAGCCCAGGAAGGTATTCTGTGTCCAACACTTGATCTCCAATGAATGTTTCTTGAGCATGACAGCAGCCGCACCAAAGACAACAAGGAAGAAGATCTTTCGAAGAGTATGTTGCTTCAAAGCCGCAGGTGTCAACGGGGCCAAAAATTTCTTCATCGCACCTTTCGCGGTTCCCGTGTTTCCCGGTGCCTTCCATAACGCCTCATCGGGCGCATAGATCAAACTGGACCCATGGTGAAGTATGGGGCCAAGAATCTGACTGAAAATAACGGTCCCTCCTTTTTCATACAGCCCATTCCGTGTCTCCAAAATTTCACGACGTAATGCCTCACGCTCCCCCTCAGGATCCGGCGTGGTGATACTTTCTGATGCCATCCTTGGACGTGCTGCCCTCGCGACGGACTGCCTCGCGCGTCGGCGGGCAAGCGGGTAAGATTACCTTGCGCGGCAAAAGGTGGTGGGACCCCTTGAGCCAAACTTGGCACGAACGCCAGGAGAAACACGAGAAAGCGGAGGAAGAGGTTGGAAGTGACGCCGAGCCCAGTCATCGCGCGCAAGCCCCTGGGACGCAGAAAGTGAAACTGCTTGGGCGGTGCGCGGACAAACCCTGAGCCCGAGGCCTCGCATGCCGAAGGAAGGATCGAAAGGGCAAGGATGCAGGGGCACCCTTTGGAAATCCCACCAGCCCTCTGGGCGCAAATGGTCTAACAAGATGCATCTTCCCTCTTCCAATGAACCCCTCTTCCCCTACGGGGAGGGGTTTACCCCGCCCCTTGTTGGCCTCTTTGATCTCCTCCTTTGATCGATGGCCTTCAAGATGGCCCCAAGAGGCCTTCCAGGGCTCCCAAGAGGGCCCCAACAGAGCCCCAAGAGGGCCCCAAGAGGGCCCCAAGAGGGCCCCAAGACCCCCAACAGAACCCCAAGAGTGCTCCAATACCCGCCAAAAGAGCCCCAGGAGAGCTCCAAAAGGCGATTTTGAAGGCTCCTGGGAAGGGGCCGAAATCGAGGACCCCCCATCTTTTGATCGATGCTCTCCTAGATGGCCCCAACAGGCCTTCCAGGGCACCAGCCGCAGCAGCGGAGATCTCTCGGTTCATCCTGGTTGCTCGCTTTGTTTCCCCAGATGTGTCCCTTCGTCCCTTTTCCCGTCAGCTCTCGTGGGCAAGGCTTCTGAATGGGCTGGTGGGATACGTTTTTTGTCGCGGCCGCGGGCGAAAACGCACGCGGCGAGTCGTAAATCTGGGGCGCGGGCTTACTAATTGACAACAGCAAACTAGAGCCGACAACCTAAACTGCCTAAGCGGACTAAGCGGCGCCTCGCGCGAGAGAAGGGCTGGTGGGAGACTTTTTTTGGTCAGCGGGCTGACGCGTAAAGCAGTCGCCGAAAGGGGGGTCCGGGGCACGTTCCAGCCTAGCTGGTGGGATAATTGTTTTTCGGTCGCGGCCGCGAACGAAGCGCGCAAGCGGCGAGAAAAGTTGTCCGGGCCGACGGGCAAACCTAATTAGCTACAAGACGCGCCGCAGGCCGGCCGGCCCACTCACCAAGCAACAACGGGGGTGCGCGGGAGGCACTGGTGGGATACGTTTGTTTGTTTTTTCCCCAACCATCCTGTGGTGTTGGGTCCTCGTTTTGAAAAGACGGTGCCCCGCGTCCTCCTCTCCTCTCCTCCTCCTCCCCCCTCCTCCCTCCTCCCTCCTCCCTCCTCCCTCCTTCCTCCTCCCCCTCCTTCCTCCTTTTTCCCCCTCCTCCCTCCTCCCCCATCCTGGCTTTTGCTCTCCGCATGTCTCTGTTTCGGCACACCCTTCACACGCTTCGTGGCCCCATAGGGAGCTCCACCTAAGGTCCCAGTGGCGGAACTCGCATGGCGCCGCCGCCCCATTTTGGCACATCGCACGTTTCGGCCCCAGCTCCACCTAAGGTCCCTGCGAAACTCGCACGCCATTTTTTCGTGGCCCCATAGGGAGCTCCACCTAAGGTCCCAGTGGCGGAACTCGCATGGCGCCGCCGCCCCATTTTGGCACACCCCTCACACGTTTCGTGGCCCCATAGGGAGCTCCACCTAAGGTCCCAGTGGCGGAACTCGCATGGCGCCGCCGCCCCATTTTGGCACACCCCTCACACGTTTTGTGGCCCCATGGGGAACTCCACCTAGGGTCCCAGTGGCGGAACTCGCATGGCGCCGCCGCCCCATTTTGACACACCCCTTCACACGTTTTGTGGCCCCATAGGGAACTCCACTTGGAGGGTGAAAGTGGGGGTCGGCCGCAGGGTCCCGGCAATGATGTCTTTATGGGCCATGAATGGGCGATGCATCCTCGATTGCTGCGTTCGGCGGGGGAACTAGTGGAAGCCCCCCGCCTGCACCCATGCGCGAGACTTGAAAGGGAAGGAAGCAACGGGGGCGGGGGGCTCGGGAAAGGCGACAAAAGGCAACGTGCGCTGAGGGCGCAAAAAGAGGCTGGAACAAACGAAAGCGGTCAGGTGAGAGTCGAAATCTGCCCAGCCAATCTGACATGCGGAACAAAACGCCTCAGCGTTGGGGATCTTGAAAGCCAGGGCAACATGTGAATTCACATAGTGGGGAAAAGCAAAATGTGAATTCACATTTTGGGAAAAAAAGGAAAAGGTGAATTCACATTTGGAAAAAAGGAACATGCGAATTCACATGTTGGAAGTTTGTGTAAGATTATTGATGAAAGGGGCCAGAATGTGAATTCACATTTTGGGAGAAAGGAAAATGTGAATTCAGATTTTGGGAAAAAAGGAAGATGTGAATTCACATTTTGGAAGAAAAATGGGCCCCATTCCAAATCTGTCTTGGGGGTCGAGGAGTCATCGTTTGGGAACACGCACGATCACCAATCGCACAATCAAGACACACTTGCACTCCACTTCGCTGCCCCACGCGCAATATGCAAGAACCCCCGCACGCACGAACGATAATGGATGGACGGCGCGTGCGCCTGCGCGGGCAACGCGCGGGCACGAACGACTGGCCCTCAATGACCGCCAACATTGGATGCCAATCGTACCCGTTCACATACATGAGCGATATATTGAGCAGACATGGGCCATGCAGCCCCCATTGAAGACCCCCTGTTGCAGACCCCCTCTTTCACCCTCCAATCAACCGAAAGTCCCAATTGCGGAACTCGCATGGCGCCGCCGCTCCATTTTGGCACACCCCTCACACGCTTCGTGGCCCCATGGGGAGCTCCACCTAGGGTCCCAGTGGCGGAACTCGCATGGCGCCGCCGCCCCATTTTGGCACACCCCTCACACGTTTCGTGGCCCCATAGGGAGCTCCACCTAAAATCCCAGTGGCGGAACTCGCATGGCGCCGCCGCCCCATTTTGGCACACCCCTCACGCGCGTCGTGGCCCCATAGGGAGCTCCACCGAAGGTCCCCGTGGCGGAACTCGCATGGCGCCGCCGCCCCATTTTGGCACACCCCTCACACGTTTCGTGGCCCCGTAGGGAGCTCCACCTAAGGTCCCAGTGGCGGAACTCGCGCATGGCGCCGCCGCCCCATTTTGGCAACCCCCTCGAAGGACCAGGATGAAGGGATGAGGACGAAAGGAGGAGGAGGTAGGAGGAGGAGAGGAGGAGGAGGGGGACGAGGCGACGACGACAACGCCGCGTGCGCTTCGAGCTCCAGGCGTCCAACCGCTTCAAGAACCCGAACTCAGGGACCTCATGGCGTTCCGCGCAAGCCGGGGAAGCAGGCCCCGCCGGCCATCCGGGCCACGTGGAACGCCATGCAGCTGAAACCCGATGATCGTAGACTCCGGGAGGAAAGGTTCAAGAACAGCCACATGATTGGGTCCTATTGGGACACCGTGGCGCGCTGGATGAAGATGCGTGCCCAGCGGGGCGCGGACGTCCTGAAGAAACCTCTCTTCCTCGTGCAGGCCGCCGACAGGTCTGCCCCGTCGATGAGCAGGAAGGACGCCGCCAAGATGATGAACTGCGCCAACCCGAAGAACACCGGCGGCATGCACGGACTGCTCCTGGTGCACGTGGGCATGCGGATCCGGCTCCTGGAGGCGCTGGACCTCAAGAGCGGCCTCGTCAAGGATGCCGAAGGGCAGATCGCGCACATCGTCGTGGACCCTCGAGATCGGGACGACGTAGACAAGGCCGAGAGAGACGGGGAGAGAAGGATCTATCTGAAGCACTTGCCGCTGGGGTTCTGGGTGCGCATGGAGAAGTACGCGAGCGCGCCCTTCGTGGACGACCTCGAGCGCCACGACGACAGCCTCACGGGGGACCTCGCGGGCAAGCTGGCAATCATCGAGCCTCGCACGTCGGAGCCGTTCACCTTTCGCACCTCCAAGGTCACCCGAACGGGATTCCCCTTCTTGCACGGCAGGGTCATCACCACGGTGGCGTGCCAGGGGCGCGCCACGCGCGAAGGCGACGGGGCGAGGGAACAGCGCTCTGGGGCAGTTTACGGCCAGACCTGCTGGGCGCGAGCAGTCCGCAGCCAGACCTCCTCTCGGTCTGTGGACTCGCCCTGGGCCGTCGGCTGCCCGGCGCGCTGCCCCCTCAGCCGACGTCGCCCAAGCGTGATCCTGGACTGCGGCCGCCACGAGGTGGGGAACGGCAAGAAGGAGGACAACGACTGGTGGCTGGAGCTCTACGTCCTGCTCTCGCGCGCCACGCGCCACGAGGACCTCCTGCTCATGCGGGCGCCGCGCATCGAGTTCTTCCTGGCAGGGCCGCCGGAGGGCTCGCGGAAGCAGCTGGGGCAGTTTGCGGCGCGCACGAAGCGGTGCAGAAGGGAGGCGACGGCCCTCGCCAGGGAGATGGGCTTCACCGAATTTATCCGCGAAGCTTGACCTGAGGAGCGGCCCGCCCGAGACTCGCCGTCTCTCGACGGTCTGACTGTTTGGCCTCGCGCCGCGGGCGATCCGCGCGCGTCGATGGGACCCTCTCGGGGCGACCAGCGCGCGTCGCGGGAATTCCGCGCTGCGCTCTGCCCAGAACCTCGCTCGCCCCCGTCGTTGCTCTGCCCAGCGGCCACAGTCTTGCCCGCTATCACCCAGCCAGCTAGCACTCTCTCTGCTCCGCGCAGCGGACGACCCGCGCGCGTCGCCGGGACCCCTTCGGGGCGACCAGCGTGCGTCGCGGGGACTCAGTGCGGCGCCGCGCCCGCAGCCATGGACATCGGCGTGCACGGGCAAAGAGGCAGAAAAAGAAGGGGAAGGAAGCGGGCGCGATCCTCGTGAGGGGCGTGCCGACATGGGCGTCGACATTGATGCACGTAGACTGATTCGCACGCAGACACATTCACAATCAGACCTACTCGCGCTCAGGCTCGCCGGGTCTCAGTCTCGCGCACTCAGAGCGATCGTCTTGTTCGTATTGGGGACCCCGCCACGCATTTCGGCACGCCCCCTCACACGGTTCGTGGCCCCATGGGGAGCGCGAGCGAAGATAAGATCCACAACCGCGGTATTCACAACTGTATATGGTTG